CATTATCTACGGACATTTCGTGACGATGTGTCATCGCCGCTGTTTTTATCAGATGATCTACTGCACCCCTGGAACGAACCGAACCCGAACCGCCGTTCTAGTGTTTTCGTCGAACCTGGACCGGGAGGGAACCCGGTTCTACCAAAACGTCCCCGAACTGAATCGTTGAAAGAGCGCGGCTCGTTCCATGAATCCGAGCTTCTCATTGGCTAGCGTTCTACAATTTCATTGGCCAAAACTATTCTGGCTACCAGTGATTTAGATCTGCACTTCCACCATTTTAGCTTTAACACTATCCGCGCACAACAATAATGGACAACCTCCCGATCATCGAGCTGCCGGAGCACTACCGCATCGACGGCGAAAAACTTGGGATGGCGCTCGCTCACATGTCGGCGCAGGCAAACAGCATCGCAGAGCATCAAGCCAAGCTCCAGCAGCGACAGTCGCTCCATGAAAAAGAGCAGCAGCGATTTATCGAGCAGCGCGTTGCAGCCGCGCGTGAGGAGGCAGAAGCCCGGTGTCAGGCCCTTGTTCTTGCCATCCAGCAGGCCTACGGTGACCCATCGATACTAGAGCTTCGCTTCGACGCGCGCATCCAAACTGTCCTCCAGTAGCTACAGCACGGGGCTCAAGAACAAGCTCGAGCTTCAGCAGAGGCTCAATTGGCCGATCAAGCAGCGCTACGTCAACTCATGGAGCGGCGAATGGACGCTGCTCTCCAGCAGATTGAGCAAGAGGCCAGCCTGCGTACTGATCGTCACATTCAGGTCATGCGCGAAGACATGCACAAGTACGTGGACGATCGTTTCCAGGTAGCCATTCGGCGCTCGGACGACACTGCGTTGGCGCTCGTACGAGAAGAGCTGAAAACCCGCCGTGCGGATCACCACGACCCCATCACACGGTCCGAACACGGGTTGTCGAGTTGGTCCGAGGGATCCTGGAAAAGTACGATAGCGCTACAAGGGTCCGTCAAGAACAGGAGCGCGAAGCGCTCACAGATCGTGTTGAGGCGCGGCTTCGCGACGCGGTGGTAGTAGCGAAAACCGCTGCGGTAAACAAGGTCCGCGATATGGCGGTGCTGAGGGTGAGCGAAACAGTGCCCTCGGGCCCAAGCGCCATGACTGAGACCGCATCTACACAAACGGCAATTGCGGAGCCAACATACAAAGCAGTCACATCCACCAAGTCCAGACCAAGGCTCCAACGTAGGCTGGAGCGGAGGGTGCGGGAACAAGAAGACAGTGTAAAAAAAGCCGATGCAGCTCGAACTCGGCGTCAGCCGGAGCACAGAACCCATGCTAAATGGAGCGTATTCGGCAAGAAGCCCAGGAAGCTGTACGGAGTCGGGCTCCATCTCGAGCGGCAGAATTGATGAACACAAGACCCAAAGCAAAACACAAACAGCAACACCATTAATATCCACGAACTGCATGTATTCATTTCCTCGGTTTCAGCTAGACTTCGCCTGTATCTTCATTATCCAAAGTACCTAAATTCATACTTTCACCAGAAAAAAAGTTAGCCATGGACCCGAACTCGGCATCCAGGTCTTGCACCATGTTCACCAAGACGTTGGAGGGCAACCGTGCTCCTGCGCATTTTGGTGATAGCTTCGGGCACTGGATTATGTCGACGTAGCTCCTGTTGCAGTTCAAAAACGTAGCCATATCCACGTTGTATGGTGCCAACGAGCTGCGTTGCGGCGTCACCATTCTCCCAGCCGCTCCGAAGTCCCTCTCGATTTGGGCCGAAGACGAGGGCATCGAAAACAAAACACGCGCCACCAGAGGAAGAAATCGGAAGTTTCCCTGCTCCTGTTGGCGTTTCCAGGAGCTAAGAACCGGTTCAACTTCATCTGGACGTATAGCTCGCAACGAAGTGGGCTTTGTAAGCCAGCGGTCAAGCTCTTCATCCACTGGCTGCGTGTGCATCAAGTTACGTGTCACGGCCGGTGGCGGCACGACCTCGTCCGCCGTCTCATACAATTGCTCCATGATATCTTCAGAGAATACAACGTCGGAGGTGGTGCAACGATTCCAGGTGAAGTTGGTTGGGTATCAACTGCCTCCATAATCGTTCGGACACCGTCGATAACTTTGCGCCGAACTTTTGTGTAGTGACGGTCGGCCACCTGCTGCGAAGTTGCGGCTTGTAGATTAGTCCTCTGTATTACCTTCGTCAAAGCTCCGTCGGTATTTTTAAAGTTGGGGTGTAGCAGTTATTGCATCTCAAACGCGTAGGAGCACGTGTTCATGACGTCGCGTTCAGTGTATCTCCGAAAAAACACACGGTGAAATGCTTTTTGGAGAAGCGATCGCGTCGTCGACGCCAAATTTTAAAGCTCTTCCGGCCTATGAAAACGCCTGTCCGTCTTGGTCGATCGGCAGTCCTTCAAAGGCGCGGTAATATCCAACACAGTTATACGGAGCTAAAAGAGCCCGAGGAGCACATTGCATTGGTTTCCTGACTCGTATTGCCCAATTTTGCAGACCGTTGCGATCGGCTCAAGTAGTCATAATATCTGGATGAGATCCATTTTGTCCTGGGTCAGCGAAAAGGCAGCTGGTGGAACCCCGTTATCGCGTCGGGCTCTGGCTATTCCCTTTTCGTACCATGTTTTGAGTGGATCCCAAAGTAGGAGAATTCGGCGGACGACGCGTGCGAGACCCAGAAAACGATGAATACGAAAGTTGAGGAGCTGTCTGGCATTCCCATCGTCATCTGTTAGTAGACTGCATAACTCGCTGAAGAGAGTGCCCATGACTTCGACGTGCTGCGTCTGGTACACGGTCTTGACAACTCGCCGCAGTAGGTCAGTCATCACTGGGTTCTTGGACCTGTTGCTGTCAGTGACAATTCCAAATGCGGTCTTAGTGGCAGCGTGCATGACGTGAGGGATGCACCACTCCCACTTCAACGCAGCAGCGACTCGGCGTATTCGCCAATTCGAAAAGGAAGATTATTGTTGACGATACGTAACGTCTCTATTAAGACGTACGCACAGCCGGGATCATCTCGATACAGTGGGCTCCGTCGTAATACGGTGAGTTCTTCTTCACGAGTTCGTTTCTTGCCCAATTCGCTGGCAGTCTTGTTAGAGTCAATACCATGCGCCTTGCTGAGGTGCTGAGTCGCTTTCGACGTCTTCCGCCGGACATCAACATCTTGGCACGCTGTGTGCGGCAGGTCTCGCTTGCCATGCACATCCAGACAGCGG